CTCGGGTCTAGCAGCAAATCATTAGACCCAAGCACTGTCACATGCCACATTGCCAACACTAGTGATTTTAAGGCCAGCTATGAGTGAGCAGGGAGCAGCGGGGGAACACAGGTAAGGTGAGTATCATTGATTTGGAAGATTTGTGGGTTGACGTTACAAAGACACTTTCAAGGTGACAGTGTCTCTTTAATCCCAACTAAAACATTACCAAGACAGCCAACATTAGGACAAGTAGGAAGAATAATGGGCCAATACTAAGTATGTGTGCCAACATTAAGAATGAAAGCCAATCTCTGCCAATTGACGTGTTTGCTGTCAATTATGAAGGTGAAGAAAATTGGCGCGATAAGAACAGTTATGGGAACACACATGTGGCTTGACAGAGGAGATAAAAATGTGTCCATGGAAAGTTTATGTGTTTAGATCATAGAAGGAAACTCAACATGACGATCCCTCTCCTCCTGACCGTACTTGGGCTCGCTGGTATGTATGGATCCAGGGTCTTCTTTATGTCAGCGTTATATACTTTCAATGTAATTCAATGATTTATCTCATTAATGCTACTCAGTATTTATAATGTACTCTACAACTATGGCTTTTAGGATTTCTTGGGTTTCTGACCCGTATATGAAAGAGAATGGTTTCCCAAATTGCAGAAATCATTTTTGTTGGGCAGCATTATATAATATCACAAAGATTATGTAAGGTATAGGTTTACCTTCTTAGAAGAGAAGGTCTTAAGTTCCTTCACATATTCAAAATTCGTAGTTTATTTTTCAAAAAGAATAGTGAGTGGAGTAATCTAAAGTATTCTCTTACACTTGTGGTCAACAATGCTTCCAGAACCACTGCTATAAAGCATTGATAGAGTCTTAAAATAATACCTTCCTTTACTTCGGTATTCACTTTGCATATGACTGTGTCAGGCTTGTTAGGCTTCAATGGTCCTATATATGGACATGAAAACGGACAGAGGATAGAAAAATTCCAGGTATAGCATATTTTATATAGTTACATTTGTCCAACGTGAACCAATAGGGGAGGTGGAGATGAGGTCGTGCTGCGGCTGCACAGAGAGATGCAGGGTCGGGTGAGGAGTTCTGTCCTCCTCTCTGCTGCTGGCTGTTGAGACAAGGTGGAGATGGAGATGAGGGGGGTGCCAGCAGCAGCAGAGGAGGTGCAGATGTGGTATGCTGGCCTGGTGTTTGACACGTGTTTTAGAAGCTGAAAATCACAGAAGACGACACCGCTATTCCAGTGATCTCCACTGGCTGCCGGGTCCCGTGCCTGCATTGGCGCTATTCAAAGAATGCTTTGCGTCTTCTCAATGACTGCAAAGCATTCTCCGGTTGCACAAGGCTGGGGCAGTTACTGAAGGGAAAGCCAGAGTTCAGCTGTAAGGAGGTTGAATGCATTCTTATTGGTTATTATGACAGATAAATCCATTTTAAAATGTGGTGAATCTCTGCAGCTGCCGTCCCCATCCATGATGATGATAAGATTGTTGGCGGTTACACCTGCTAGCAAAGCTCTGTTCCTTACCAAGTGTCTCTGCATGCTGGATACCATTTTTGTGGAGGGTCCCTAATAACACGTTATGGGTGATTTCCGCTGCTCACTGCTACAAAAAAAAGTAAGTAATACGGATGTCAGTCATTTTCTTTAAAAGCAGGTTCCTAGTAAATTTAAGTTTTTCATAATTTTTTTTGTACCGTGAATAAAAATATCAGGCGCTAATTATAATCACATTACTTTAAAAAAAGAAACACATCAAACAATAATAAAATTACCACACACAATGAATTACTTATAACAAACGTAAAAAATGACATATTAAAGTGTATCAAAAGCTAACATTTTTTATGTTTTGGATGGCGTGGTGAAGGGTTACTACCTCTGTCAAGTTATTATTGCTGACTGTGTCTCTGGATGGGGATTCACCCTGTCTATATGTCCTAGTGGCTACTGTCACCAGGACTGAAAGTAAGAGAAAATGTAAAAATGGGGAGTTGTCCTCTGAACAAAAATAGAGAGGAAATCTTCCAGTATGGACACTTCCAATGGCAGCTGTTTATAAGGGAATTCCTTAATTGTGGGGAGATTTCCTCTCACTTTCTAATTTGTCTCCAAAACTAGTGGTGAGCCGAACATATCAAGTAGGGTTCAGCAAGTATGGAGAAAGTTCGGGTACTGAATTCAAACCTCACTGAATGGCCCATATGGCCATATTTGGGCAAAGATGTCAGTCTTCTCTTACCCCCCCCCCCCTTTATTTACATGGCCAGGGATTATCAGCCATGCAAGTGAATGGGACAGGTAATATCAATGGTTGCTAAGGATGTGACAGGTGCAAGCAAACGCTGATTCTTTAGCAACCATCGACAGCTGGAAGCTGTCGTGTTCATCCATTCCATACACCCTAGACTTGCAGCATTTGGATGAACACCTAAAATCTGACTGGTCCAACTTGAACATTTTCATTTATTTTCAACGGTTGTTTTCAAACTTCTAAATATTAAACTTCCATTAACCCCCCTGGCGGTATTTCTGAATGTAGCTCAGGGTTTAAGTTTCAGTACCAGAAGTGGTAATCCCAAGCTACACTCGGGATTACACTGCAACGTTCTCTGGGATCCATGGATCACTTACCTTGTCCTGCACTCCCGCGATGTCCCCCCTACAGCGTCCCTGGCCATCTCCTCCGGCCGATGCCGGCATCTGTCTTCTGGGTCTCATTCCCTGCGAGCGTCAGGACGTACGGGGGACGGAACCGGCAGGAGATTCAAAAATTTCAAAATTTTACATACACATAATACACTAAAATCACATAGTATAACATTCCTGTATCAAACCATTTCACATACATTTTGTCCCGAGTGCTCTGTCCGGCGCCCTGCCCTGATTTTTACTGTTCTTTCTGCCTGGAAACTGAGAAATGTCCATGGCGTCCCAAAAAGCGTCCCTTTAAGTCAAAATCGGTTTTAGACCGGCTAGAGAACAGCGATATAGTAAATCAGAACCACTTGCAGAATTGAGTGATGATTCGTGGGGGAAATTCATCATCAGACACTGAAAACGATTTTGCAACTGAGCTCAGTGATGTGCGAACTTGGCGTTCTATTTCAAATAATTTCAGTGTTTTTGGTTTGATTACATAATTGAATCAAATGTATTATTTTTTTATGATTATTTATTATAATATAATTTATGATTTTGTGTTTCAAATTTTATCTACCCGGGATGTTTACTAGTGTCAGGGCAGGAGCGGCAGAATGGACAGGCAGGCCTTATGACTGACGACAGCCATACCCACAGACTGGAGTCCCTCAGGTCGCGGAGTCTAAGCCCCAGGCTGCCTTTCACCAGAGCCCCTGATGGTGGGGATGGACTTGACGCAGCCTGAGACCAGGTCGCGACCCCCGAGTAACCCCAGCTGCAGTAACGGCTGCCGCCAATGGCGTATAGCTAGTGGGAGCCAGATGGGAAGACGTATAGCGTGGTCGGACAGGCCGGGTCGATAAAAGCGGAACAGACAGTACAAGACAGTAGGCAAAAATACTCAGGTCACGGGCCGGGTTCAGCAATGGGAGGTCAGGTAATGGGATAAGGCAGAGAAATGCCTTGTCAAAGCCGGGTCGGTTTCCAGTAGAGCAATGAGAGCTGAACAAGAGCTTGCTGCAAAGGAACATACAGGACACGAATGCAAAGAGCAACTACAGACAGCAGGCTTAAATGTGATCAGCCACACCCTCCTGAGGAGGAGCCGCAGAGGCCTGAAAGCATAAAGGCTCCCACCATGCTTTGCAGAAACCTAAGATGGATGCCAGCACATGGAGCAGCACAAGCTCTGAGGAAAGGTAGGACCTTGACAGTTAGACTCTTGTTCGAACAGATTTCAGTGAGTTATTCCTGAAAATTACAGGCCTACAATAAAAAAACATATTTCCATTGAAAACAATGTACCACTTTGAGCAAGAAATACTAACATAATCAGACCGCTACGGAGGTTAAGTAATCTCAGGTCATCCTGCCATGAAAGTCTTTCTTTGGGCACTTCCATTATGGGGTAACATTGAAGGTTATTTACTAAAACAGGAGAGTGCTAAATCTGGTGCAATTTTGCATAGAAATCAATCAGCTTCCAGGTTTCATTGTCAAAGCCTAACTGAACAAGCTAAAGTTAGACGCTAATTAGTCACTACGCACAGCTGCATCAGATTCTGGGTACACCAAGTTTAGTAAATCCCCCTCATTGCCTCCAAATTATGCTCCTGCGTTGTCAACCATGTTAGCCATGCCAACACACATTGCACAGGCATGCTCCTCTGTTGTCCCAGTCACAAAGCTGGTTCAGAGCAGATGAACATGGAGACAGTAAATGTAGACATGAAGAAACTGAAAGGCTGGAGCAGATCAGTATCATCAAAATTGGAAAAAAGATGAAAAAACAGCATTTCATGAAAAATAACCATGTTAACTGTTCATCTTACACAAGGCTTTAGCAGACAGATGAATCCATGGCGTTTATTTACTAAAACTGAAGCATGCAAAATCTGGTACAATTGTGCATAGAAACCAATCAGCTTCCAGGTTTTATTTGCAAAGCTTAATTAAACAAACTTAGAAGCTGATTGGCTCCCATACACAGCTGGAACAGATTGTGAGTGCACCAGTTTTAGTAAATCTACCCCTATGTGTCAATGTGTGTCAATCAATCAATCAAATGTGTGAATCTTAAGAAAAAAGTTGGGTGAATTATGGGTAAAAACATTGATAAATAAACCCCTAAATGTCATCCCAGTAAAGGTTAACATCTACCTTAATAAGTAATAGAAACTGCTATACTTGTATATTTAATAAAGGTTTCTTTTTTAACATATTCAGGAATATTGAGGTCCGGCTTGGAGAATACAACATTGGTGTGTTGGAAGGACCAGAACAATTTATTAAAGCCTCCAAAGCTATCCAGCACCCACAATATGATCCTAACTATTGACATCATGTTAATCCGGCTAAGTAAACCGGTCAAGATGAACAGCCAGGTCAGAACCGTCAGTCTGCCCACTCTCTGTGCAGTGACGGGCACTCGCTGTCTGGTATCTGGATGGGGAAATACGCTGAGTAGGGGAGGTAAGAAACCATATGGACAATAAGATAGTGTGCATTAGCTTTTCTCTACCCTTGAAAAAAAACTCCTACTACTAAGTATTGTGTCTATAGCTCCTAGTGCATTAGCATGGTGGTCAATGGAAAGAATGCTCTTTACATTGGTGGTCTGGGGAGAATTCCTCTTACATTGGTGCACTGGGAAGAACGCACCTTCCATTGGCAGTCAGTGTGATGAGAAGAATGTCCTTTATATTGGTGATTAATGGGAAGAACGTCCATTACATTGGTGATCAGTGGGAGGAATGCCTCTTACATTGGTGGCCAGTGGAAAGAATGCTCCTTACATTGTGATCAGTGGGAAGAATGTCCCTTACATTTGTGTCAGTGGGAAGAATGCTTCTTAAATTGCTGATCACTGGAAGATACTCCATAGATTGGTGGTCAAGAATGAATCCGTTACAATGGTGATCAGTGGGAAGACCGTCCCTTACATTGGTGATCAGTGGAAAATATGCTCCTTACATTGGTGTCAGTGATGCCCGTTACAGTGGGAAGAATGTCCTTACATTGGTGATCAGTGGGAAGACCGTCCCTTACATTGGTGATCAGTGGGAGGAATACCTCTTACATTGGTGATCAGTGGAAAGAATGCTCCTTACATTGGTGATCAGTGAGAAGACTGTCCCTTACATTTGTGGTCATGGGAATAATGCCTCTTAAACTGCTGATCACTGGGAAGAATACTCCTTACATTGGTGGTCAGTGGAATGAATGCCCCTTACAATGATGATCAGTGGGAATAATGTCCTTTACATTGGTGGCCAGTGGTAAGAATGTTCTTTACATTGGTTGGCAGAGGGAAGAATGTCCCTTACATTGGTGGAAAATGGGAAGAATCCCTCCATACAGATAAGTAAAAGGTTTAGTGATGTCAGTGGTTACTTATTTGGAAGGCAGAAATTGTTCATTGTTCAAGGTACTCCTAGCAATCTCTGAAAAACCCTGTGTGTTCCATTGCAGCCTGGTTGAGTACAGATGGTATGTTTTTTAAAATATCCAGCCTAGGTCTTATGGATACTAAAAACAAACTATAAAATTTTGATTTCTGTCTAGATAATTATCCTGATCTTCTGCAGTGCCTTCAGGCTCCGATTCTTAACAACCAAGTGTACCAAGATGCCTATCCTGGTAAAATTACTGAGAACATGATCTGTATGGGGTATATGGATGGTGGAAAGGACTCTTGTCAGGTAAATACAAAAGAAAACAGAACAACATAGCAAAATGTTGAAAGTCCAATTCAAAATTTCTGTTTTTTGTTTAACCCATTGATCAGCTGTTCTAAAAATATAAATTGCAGTTTGAGTAATGTCCCCCATAGACTTATCTGCTTTGCAATTCAGAGCACAGTTTCTTCCTCTTCCTATTAGTGCAGGTCTCATAGAGGGTAGATCATGAATAATAAATCATTAGTCATCCTGGGCTCACAGTACAATTATGCAGTGAACAGTAATGATGTCATTATGTCTATGAAGCTCCCTTATTCACTGAGTGAGGTCCTTCCATCATGGGACAAGGTGATAGGGAAAAGAGGACTCTGTGCTTCACGTGACTGGCCAGGAGACCCCATAGTGGGTACATCAATGGGTTACAGGTCTTCACTCCCAGAAGAGATTGCATGGAGGGTCACAAAATGGCAGACTCAGGTAAGTAAAATATGGCTTTTGAAGGGTGGGAGCAGTGTGGTCAAGAAAAAGAAAAGGAGGAGAATTTACCCAGAAATAAGTGTAGCATCCCCTTGCTCCTGAGTGGCTTGATGGACCAACATCTATAGCTGTTCCTTTGTGTATAGTGGGGCAGAAAACAAGCTGGGCACCAGCCACTTTAGTCTTTTTACAATTCATTGCTGAATTCAATAACAGAGAAAAGCACAAAGGACAGGTATTCTGAAGTTGCAATAGTAGTAGCAGGCCCTTTAAGGGTAGACTCTTGGTAATTACTTGCCCTGTAAGAACAGTTAAGCAGATTTATGACCCTGTATTTGCATTCACACAATCTTTCTGATATTGCAATGGATCTCTCTCTAATAGGACCGTCCCTTGTATAGTAGTGAAAGATGCCCAAGTCTATGAACAATGAATCCCTTTTTACAGTGTCCATATGGCAGATCTATCTACTATATCCTCTACAACACTGTTCAGCAAGAAGTTTACTTTCCAGCTCAGCTGTCACGGTCAGAAACCAGTAGCTGTAGTAGTAGAGAGGCTCCCACTGACCAGCAGGATAGGTATGCAAGCAGGTCACCCTGGCAGATGACATGGACTCACCCGAGGTGCAGAGTCTAAGCACTAACCTGTATTCACCAGAGCTCCTGATGGGATGGTGGAGATGGGTTTTGGTGCATCTTAGTACCAGGTCGTGGTCCTCAGGATCGCCCTATCAGCAGGTGAGCAAGCTGGGATCCAGTAGCAGATATAGCAGGTAGCAGATGCATAGCAAGTAAACAAGCCAAAGGTTGGTAACAATGAGTTGCAGAAGCATAGTTGAGGAACAAACAAAAGGTCGGTAATGAGTGTTAGTGGAGATACAAACACCAGCAGGAGTGACAACAGCAAGATATTGGCTGGAAAAAGCACAAAAATCTGGTCACTAGAAAGTGAAAAAGTATTGCTAAAATTGGATGTTCATGGAAGGAGCAAAGGGTTCAAAGTTCAAAAGAAACAAGGTTTAAGACAGGATCATCCAAGGAATTTTCCAGGGATCTGTACAGCATTCCAGGTGGCTCAGCAAAAAAAGGTATTGTGAGGCACAGCAGAGGTTGCAGGTTCAGACCTGGGGCCTGACGCCAGGTTATTTTCAAGTATTCACTCAGCTCTAGCTCAAGTTCTTGGGCCTACAGCATATGCTCCAAGCTGGGTAAAGTCAAAGAGAAGACACACTCTAAACACACATCCTACCCAGATAGAGTCCAGGAAAATAAGCTAAAAAGGTGACCCTAATATTTATAATCTCCCAAACCATATGTCTAAACAAGGGCCTCAGAGGTTGGCTGAAACAGATAAATATTCATAGCTCAGTGTTTCCGTTGTACTTACTGAAGCCTCCCTCCTGTAACACACAGAAGTAATGCCAGTGAAGGAATAATATCACTCCAGGGGCAGCCACCTGTATGTTCGGGTGCTGGTCCAGCTTGCTCTGAGATGCACACAAGGTAAAACTTGTGGATGACCACACTCTGATACAAGCTGCCTTCATTGAAGAATACTCATAAAAGTGGCATGAAGGGGTGGAACACAGAGGGCTTACAGGTTTCGCTCTAACTTGCACTTAATCATAGGTCATGATTAAGCGCTAATTAGTACAAAACGTGTTAGCCCTCTGTGTTCCACTCCTTCATGTCACTTTTATGAGTATTCTTCAATAAAGACAGCTTGTATCAGAGTGTGGTCATCCATAATGTCGTTGAAGGTTCTCATTTATCCAGGTCATGGTATATCTAGTGGTCACATTCAACTGGGCTTGTTCTATAATGTTGAAGATGTTTCGTAGCTTCTCCAAGCCACGTCTTCAGTTCTAATGAGTGCGCTGGGGAAATTTCCTGACACTCAATAGATTTGTGACTTGGATGAGCTATGAAATGTCTTCAACATTACAGAATAAGTCCAACTGAATGTGACAATTGCAGATTAAGCCTGGGTTCACACTTGTGAGGTGCGGCATATCGCATGTGATTCGCACAGGATCCGCACCGCATTTTTGAGCAAATCACATGCAAATTCTGTGCGCTGCAATTTGAGCCATAAATTTTGTATGGTCTAAATCGCACTACATTCGCACTAAAAAGGTGAAGGACCCTTTTTTTGGTCCTCGCTAGAATCGGATAGTATGGGTATTCACACCTATGCGATCCGATTCTTCACATCGCACTGCTTTTTGTGGGTGTTGTTAACTTAACATTGGGGGGCGTTAACTTAACATACACACCCGCAGCGGTTCACATGAATGGGTGTGATTGTGATGTGGTGCAAAATTTGCACAGAAACCGCTGCGAATTCCGCACTGCATCAGTATGCCGAGCTAGGGGTTGAAGTATTCAACCCATTGTGCTCAGGGAAGACTTGCAGAGCCCAAAACAGTTAAATACCAGCTAAGGCTGGTTACAGCCTAACAACAACACACACAATTTGATTAGTAACACAACTGCATTGGACAGGGTCCCATAGACCTAAAAGAAGAACGCCAGGCACAGCTGAAAGGTGTAGGTAAATGGTAAGTTATCCATCTCTTCTATTCACCTTTAAATTACCTAATGGACAAAAAAAGTGGTCTCCTCCATTCTATGCTTTCCTATCACTGCTAAGACCTTCCCAACAGTTTCTGTAAATTAAGAACTCAGCAGGTTGTTGCATGCAATGAGTGCATTTTGATTCTGTTATTTATTTCCCCCAGGGTGACTCTGGCGGTCCTGTGGTTTGCAATGGAGAGCTGCAGGGAGTTGTATCCTGGGGTAACGGCTGTGCCTTGCCTGGATACCCGGGTGTATACACCAAGGTGTGTAACTACTTGTCCTGGATTGAGAAGACTATCTCCAGCTAAGTGTTTCAAACTGACACAGCAGACAAAGATCCTGATGTTTATGAAAATTGCAATAAAAATAATTCTGGAAATCATGTGGTCTCATTTTAAGTCTACTTCCCAATAATATTGGTAAAAATCACCAAAACTCCAGAATCAAGATCTCCATTTCAAAAAAACCTTCCACCATTTGTCAAATACTGAAATAATGATGATAATAATAATAATAAAAAAATCTAAATGTTCTGACTATTGGCCAGTCTACATAAAGTAAATTTTACAAACTTTACAAAGTTATGAGGAACAGGGGGGGGGGGGGGGGTGTCTCCATAAAATGCAAAGATAAGGGGAAAAGGGGGGGTCTACATAAAATGTAAAGTTAAGGGGAAAAGGGGGGGTCTACATAAAATGTAAAGATAAGGGGAAAAGGGGGGGTCTACATAAAATGTAAAGTTAAGGGGAAAAGGAGGGAGGTCTACATAAAATGTAAAGTAAAGGGGGGGGTCTATATAAAAAAAATAATGTTTATGAATGTCTGAGCATTCACCAATCCGTCACAAATAATCTCCATAATGTGTCTAATATCTTTATTTTGTATGGTCATCAGCTCCATCTAATGGCCTTAATGCAATATTTTCCTGAAATACCTCAATCAGGAGAATACCGCATTATGGCCACTAGATGGAACTGGAAATCATAGGAAAAAACGTATTAAGACACATTACGGGGATTATTCATGACATTCTCACAGCAAATTTATCATAAAATATACCCCTTGGTATATGGCGTTACAAACTTCTGTCTGACATTAGTAGTCAATGTTGAAATGAGAACATACCACAAATACCTTGGCATTGGTGCAATTATTTGGGAACACACCATCATAAATCCATCAAAAAGAAAGAGTGACCTCAAAATAGAATGCCACATTACCACCAAAAATTAAGCTCTGGAAGGTATGTTTTGATATTTTTTTTTCTTGTGCATTTAATAATAGCTGAGCAAATCTTAGGCTGGCCATACACACAAAAGCAGATTTCTCCATAGGATGGTTGGCGGAACCTACCACTAAGCCTATTGTCTTGTGACAGCAGCTACCAGAATACTCAAACAGCGGCCGTATCAAATTCAATGTAGTTACTGTTCAACCAAAATTTTCCCTCCTGACTCCTCTGATTTTTCAATTGAAGGGTATCAGGTGAGAGAATACCGGCAATGCCACCCACAAAGCAAATTTCAACTGGTCCATCAGGAACCAGATGAAATTCAGGATATGACCACATTAATCAAAGACTATTTAATTCTGCAACGACTGTAACATGATCACATACCAGAGGATAGGTGGAAGGAGCCCCTCACCTCATGGGCCCCGTGACACTAGCACCTCCTTCCAGTAGTTAAGCCAATGACACTTGGAAAGGGGCAAGACAGTTGGCAAATCCTCTGGAAACATTTCGCCCATCTGGAGGTGTTCTCATAATCCTGCTTGTTAGACAGGGTGCTGCAATAAACAGTAAGTCAACAAGTCATACAGGGAGGTTGCTTGTATTCAAAAGAAACATCAGTTTTGCTGATCTCCTCCTCTACACCAGGGTTTCTCAACCAGGGTTCCATGGAACCCTACAATTCCTCCAGAAGTTCTTAAGGATTTCTTGAGCAGAAAGCAATGTCTGCCTCTCAGACAAGTTCCCACTGACACCATTCATCCTTTTAGCCACCTCTAAAGGAGATATTCTTCCCAATGACCACATGTGTAAGGAGAATTTTTCCTACTGATCAGCACCCTAATGGATCAGGAGTTGTAGACATAGTCATTTTAGCAGGGGTTTCTGGAGATTGGCTATTTCAAGGGTTCCTGTGTTGAAAGGGTTAGGAAAGGCTGTTCTATAGTGTATGGCCAAATGTTTGTGAACACCTGAGCATCAACCCTACTTATATAGAACCAACCCAAATGATTGAGTTCAGGTGTTTTCAGTAAAAGGGTAATGTTAAGCGGTAATAAACCGGAAATAAAAACAAGAGATTTTCCCCCTACAAGCTAATGTCATAATGTGCTAATATGTATTGCATACTAGCACATTATGGAAGACTTACCTGAGTCACCGCTGCAGAGGCTTCCATTTTCAATCAGTTTTCCTTCTGTGTTCCCGAGGTGTGGCCACTTAAATGGCCGAAACTGCAATGACATCACTCCTGCACATGCGCGTGGGAGCTACGGCTGTGGCACACGACTCTGAAGGAACGGCATGGGTATCTACCAATTTAACCCCCCTGGCGGTATTCCTGAGTGTAGCTCGGGATTAAGTTTCACTACCAAAAGCGGTAACCCCGAGCTACACTCGGGAATACACTGCAGCGTTGCTCCGGGATCCCTCCAGCACTTACCTTGTCCTTCGCTCCCGTGATGTCCTCCCTGCAGTGTCCCCGGCCATCTCCTCTGGCCGATGCCCGCATCCTTCTTCCGAGTTCCGTTCCCTGGGAGCATTGGGATGTACGGTGGACGGAACCAGCGGGAAATTCAAAAATTTTGAAATTTTACATACACATAATACACTAAAATCACATAGTATAACATTCCTGTATCAAACCATTTCACATACATTTTGTCCCGAGTGCTTTGTCCGGCGCCCTGCCTGCATTGTTACTGTTCTTTCTGCCTTGAAACTGAGAAACGTCCATGGCGTCCAAAAAGCGTCCCTTTAGGTCAAAAGCGGTTTTAGACCAGCTAGAGAACAGCGATAGTAAATCAGAACCACTTGCAGAATTGAGTGATAATGATTCGTGGAGAAATTTCGTCACGATTTTGCGACTGAGCTAAGTGATGTGCGAACTTGGCGCTCTATTTCAAATTTCAGTGTTTTTGGTTTGTTTATATTATTGAATTAAATGTATTATTATTATACTATAAATAAATATAGGGATGAGCTAAATCATAATATAAAAAGCATTCAAATTAATCATGCTAAATAATCAAAAATTGTGTCCGTGTATAAAGTCCAAACATAATATAACTCTGAAAAATATTTGGGAATAGTAACACCGTGATCAAACTCCACCACCAGATGAAATGAATGAACTCACCAGAGCCATATGCTGATAAAATTATAAATCAGCATAAGAGCTGTTGCTCTGGGAGCGATGATTGTAGGGGATATCCAGTCTCTAGGAGTAATACTCTGCAGCCCACCAGCCAGCATATATGCAAACCTTTTATATGATCGTCATTTCCACCATGGATATTGGAACCACACTCAGAGATAAAGAAAAGACACGATGGTGCAGCATGTTTAAAACCAATCACATTTATTAAAAGACAGAATCCATTCACAAACAAGGTGTCCCGGCCGACACACCATAATCCGCATAAGTAAATCCGCATAGACCAAAACAATAAGACGAGCCCCGCTCACCGTGGACACCGCCGACAGTACCAGGGAGGGTCCTGACGTCACATCTATCCAAGCTCCTCCCTACGCGTTTCGTCATACAACGTCCTCACGGAGCGGTTTAGCTGAGGTAATGCGCAAGGTTGGGGCGCTTTCTTTTTGCTTCTCTTCACAGTATCGGTCGGGCTTCCCCAGCCTTGCTGTAGAGCTGCACAACCTTCCATGTACTGGTAGAATTGTTTTGAGGTTCCTCGATTTCCACCACCCTGGTTTGAGTCCTAGAGCGCAGGAGGTGTTGTCTCTGAAGCAGCTAGCTATGGGGGCACCTAAGCAGGCTCGCTCCTGAGCTGCTGCTCTGTGTGACTGTTCACAGACAGAGCGTAGCTTGGCCCTGCCCCCGATTTCTTCTCATTGGCTCACTATTATTATTATTATTATACAGTATTTATATAGCGCCAAAGGGTATGCTCAGTGCTGTACAGTAGCAAGGGGGACAGAACATGAGACAAGACAGTAACAATACAATACACGAGGGGTTCAAGGGCTCTGCTCTTTCGAGCTTACAATCTAGGAACAAGCTGTGATTTACAGTAGGCTCCTGCTGCTGTCTCAGCCAATGGAGAGGGAGAGACCTGGGGGAGCTGGTGTTCTCATGCACATCACTGGATCGAGCTGTAGCTCAAGTAAGTATTAAGGGGGACTGGGGCAGCACACAGAAGGTTAGTGTGCTTACAAGCACAGCTCTTGCCAGCAGCTGGTTTTATGGTGTTCACATGTCTTTGACAGCTCAGTCATTTTACTGCGAAGACAGCAATCTCAGTACCAAAAACCTCAGCCACTATGGATGTATATGTGCACTGTGCGGATGTTAAAACCCATCCTCCTTGCCACCGTGCATATGCATTACATAGCTGGCAAGAGGTTTAAAGTGTTACTTTTGTGTTTTATGCACTTTGTGCTACGTTTACTAACCCAAAATTCAGGATTCTGGCAGCAGGTTGAATATAAAGACAGACAGCAGCTGTCCGTGGGAAAGCAGTGGTCTACCTCCAGCAGCCTGACAAGCCTACTCCATGCAACTACTGTTCTCCCATCAGCAAGTGCTATGGTTAGAGAGGGTCTGCCTAACTGTTGTTATGGGGTACTATTATTATTATTATTATTTATACAGTATTTATAAAGCGCCAATAATTCGCTCAGCGCTGTACATTACAAAGGGGGACAGAACATGTGACAGAACAACAACAATACAATGCAAAACATGAGGGGATCGAGGGCCCTGCTCTTTGGAGCTTTACAATCTAGGAGGGAGGGGATGGTGGTGCAGGAGGAGATAGCTGTGGGGGATGGAGGTGGTAGGAAGAGTGGAGGGTCAGAGAGGGTCTGCCTAACTGTCGCTATGGGGTACTACACTTAAGAATCTGCATTTCTGAAAAAATGACTATTGAATGGGTTAAATTTCTCAGTAACGGTTTGTATGGTCAGAGCTTTCGCCTTCCCATATGCAACATACAAGAGGAAGTCCAACTGGGTTAATACGAAGGGCTCAATTCACGCTAAGGTGCACATTTTTGGGTCAGTTAAATTTTTCTCAGTATTGGGAGTATGCTTTACTCCAGAAGTAAAGCAAGCACT